AGTTCAGTTCAGCTCCAATCAGTTCAGTTCAGCTCAATTTAGTAAATATGAACATATCCTATATAGTATACAAATTTACAAGCTATCATTATAGTTTGGACTGTTATAGAATCAAATTTCAACAATTTAATTACTCGTAGTTGATTCCTTAGTAGGAATTGCACTATGTAAAGATCAATTTATTTTGGATTTTCACAATCCATCAAATTATTTGTGACCTTGCGTATCTTTATTGGTTTTTTACTAGGATGGATATACTTGAATATATACTTCCACTTTAATGATACGATTTTTTGCGTGGTACTCTAGCGTGGAAGATAACTAGAAGTACATACAAGTCTTATATGTGGCTGGCCACACCGTGTGGTTACTTTGCTAGTGTTATGGGGGTTATTTGATCAGTGTTAAAGGGGTTACTTTATCATTGTTATAGAGTTACTTGGTCACTGTTATAGGGGTTACTTGATTGGTATTACCGAGGTTACTTAATCAATGTTATAGGGGTTACTTTAAGTGGTCACACGGTGTGGTCGGCCGCACACAAGACGAGCTGTTAGTTGATTCGATTAAATTCCTCTTATAAGTACCAAGGATAAGAAAGTAACAACAAATATCTATAAACTTATGCAACACAAGAATAAAATTGGGACAACAAATACATAGACTATGTTATTATGTGCTTTTACTATGTAATGTATGTGTATTTTTTTTAGAAATATTATATGCTTTTAAAATCATGTTATGCTCCTTATGTTATTATTCATTCATACTTGTTGTCAACATATACTTTTATTGGAGTAGTTTTATTTATTATCTTTAAATAATGTTATTCGCTTTTGTAATAAGCTTTTGCTTTTATTGCAAGAACATACTTTGGCTTTATTAAGTTCAACTTATTTCTACTTATTTTAATAAAAATAAGTTCAAATCAGATCAGAAAAAATAAGTTAAGGTCAAATTTTATCAGAAACAATAAGTTTAGATCAGATCATCGTTTTATGTGCAGTTTTAATTTATCGCTAAATATCTTTAATTTCGCAATTGAATTTTTTTTTATGAAAATGACATATTAATAAAATAACATTATTACAAATCTAACAAGACCCTACTTGATATATTTTTCCTTATATTTTATCGTACACTGAAGGTCAAAATTTAGTCAAAACTGACAATCAGAATATATCAAGCAACCATATAGGTAAGTTCAAATAAGCAAAAATAAAGTGAATTAAACAAGTCCTTTGTGTATCATCAACAATACCTGATTACGTCCAGGAATAACTGTAATCAGGTGCATGTTCTAATTTCCACCATGAGATCGAGTTTCTAATGTAATAGTCAACTATTTTTATGGAAAAGTGCAAAAATGCAGCTACTATACACATCAAATATTAGCTATTGCTTTCAACGAGTAGGAAAAAATTGATTTATTCTTTAGGTTTCCACTAGGTAATTATCATCAGTATATGATACGCAAAGATAAGTTTATGTTGATTAATTAACCGTTGGACCGTACCATAAAATAATGAAAACTTTGCATTTTAGGAAATCTTTTCTCTTTGGGTAAAAAAAGATTTGGTAAAAAGTGGTAGCAAATTGAATCCACATCAGCCATAAGCTTTTCATCTTGTCTAAGAAACCCTACTTGAATAATGTTTTCATCTTATCTAACATATATAGCCTACTAGCTTGAATGTATGTTGTACTAAGTTAGCTCATTATGTTGTCACTTATTATACATTCGTGCACATAAAGTTGAATGCATGCATAGTCTCATACTCGAATTGATCCAAATTATCTCACAATACCTTTTAGTTATTATTCAATGTAAGACAAGTTCATTCTAAGAATTAACTTGAGCTTAGGTGAAAGACATTGTATATAGTGTTCTATCTTAATCTCTTAGGTGCGCAAATTGTGCATCTGTTAAACATCAAGTCTAAAACTAAAGAACATGAAGACTTGCTCGAATGAACATAAACCTCGAAAAACATAAGAGCTATAACTATATAAGATGATGTTATCATTGTTATGTTCACTAGATTTTATGTTTTTGTTTTTTAGTCTTTGTTCTTTTGTTTCATGCATACTCCTCCACCATACAATTACTGCTCTTAGGTAGTGAACCTTCATGTGTTATACAACAATGGAATCATTATTATTCTTGATTATTGGTCAATGTTCACTGAAATACTACCTCAAAAACATATATTGACCTTAATCCTTTGATAAACTGGTAAGAGAGTTATTCCAAGTTAAGTAGAGCTATTTGATTCAAGTCATAAAATGTTAAAATGTCAATTTTGTATCATCATTGTCGTTAGTTGAAACTTGCAAGTGGAAAGCGTAATCGCAACATTTACATTTGTAGCTAGTCTTACTCCAATACAAAAGCTAGCTTATGAGTATATGTTTGACATTGTTGCAAATAAATCAAGTGAATATAAACAAATTTTCCACTTAAGACAATAAGATAGATGCTGAAAAAATGAGAAAGAAATCATTAACTTCATATCTTTTGGTGCAATAATGATTCTTCTTGACTAAAGCCTAGCACTCTATGTGTACAACATTTGAATTAACCAAAGATGAGAAAAGAGGGGTCTACTTAAGTCTACTTAAGTTAAGTAGTGGTCGATTTATGAAATGGGTACCTCAAAACACCTCGAAATAATTTGGTTAAAGTACTAGAAAACTCCAGCGAATATTTAAAAATATATACCGATCTACCATGCATTTAAAACTATATTTGATGGTTTACTAATCAAATTTTCATTGTAATACTTATGTTTATAATTTTTGGTTAGGTTTAGATATACATTTCAAAACTACACACACCAAGAGTACTTCCTAAGAGTCTAATACTCTAATACATCATCAAAAATCTCAAGCTAGTACAATTAGTACAATGCTTAAAAAATAGTAGCATATATATAGAGTGATGCGGTTTACATTGTACACCATGACAATGATTGATTTTTACGGGGTTAAATATCTTGTAAAGAGAACAATTTTATCTAAAAAACTAGAAAACTTTTATAACATACATGTATGAACTATGGAGTATTAGGATAACCATTAATCATTTTAGGATAACTTTTAACTTAATGCACTATATATATTATACAGCCGACTTTTCTACAAATTTATCAAATGCTAAAAGACAAAAGAAGATCCCACTAATTAAATACTCAATAGTCAAGTTCTTTCCAATTATTGATCTTAACGGAATATACTAGAATATTCCAGTAATGATATAACATCATGAAGGTTAAGCCAAAACAAATTGAGATCCTATGAGACCAAAAGTATATCAATTGATGGCAATTTGATTTTTGAAAAATTCTATATATAAAAAAAAAGTGAAGTGCAAATAGTATTGGATTGCACCCAAAACTAAAAGGTCCTAATCACCTTAAAAAGAAAGTGGTGAACCAAACAGTTGTTATTGCGTTGCGTTCACCAAAGGTCATTTGGCTTGATATAGTTTTGCTTTTTACAAATTATTGACACTTGATTATTGCTTTTATAAAGTGCTACATTATTATTTTTTAATACAATTATACAATTTAAAGTCTATTAGACTTTGACTAATCTAAATTCGAGACAAGTTAGACCCCAGTTGGCAAAAAAGTTCTCCCAACAAGTATTGATGCGTTCTCATAATTATACCCTAGACCTATATTATTATGTAAATGCAAGTTATAATAAGAATTAACAGTTCACGTATGTTTAATTATGTCTTGTGTATATACTATGTATGAGTTTATAAAAGGATTGACAAGTTAATTTGACCATAAGTTCAATGAAGTATATATAATAGATTCTTGGCTAGTCATATACGAAGTTATTAAGTAAACAACGTCACAACTTCAACTATACTTATAGGCTAACTAGATAAGGTAGTGGAAGTTACAATAAACATTACCTAATGCTTGATAAGAAGACTATTTCAAATTTCAATCGGCTTTTTCGCCGCATATTAGCTAGTGACCCTATGATAAGTATGTTGGTGTCCTAACTATGCTTCCATTAAAAAGAAAATGACTTGAAAGTTGAAATTAGTAAGGGAATTAGTGGTGCTTGTTGAAGGTGATACATGCATATTAATGGCAATAAAGCATATATGATTGATGATTCAAGTCACACTTTAATGAATACTACCTTGTAAGATACATATAGTTTTTCATTCTTTGTACTAGTATGATTTTATGCGCAATATGAATATAACAAAAATAACACATGAGTTGAACAAGTTAATGAATAATGAAGCGTATATAAATGACCAAATTTAAAACATGGCAAACACAAATCATACTGAGTAAGAAGTAACAAAGATTTCTACCCCAACTTTTAAATAGCTATGAGCATATAACACATATTCAAGAGTATATAATCAAAGTTTTATAATTAATTATTTCAATTAAGAAATAAAAGATTGATTGGATTCATGAGTCGGATCTAGATCTAAAATTGATAAGACCATCCCATGGACATCTAGTTCTAGACACAAATCCATCTTGGTCCAAGACTCAAGAGACTGATTTGGAGCAACAAATGGATCCTAATTTATGGAGGCGTGTTGGATTAATGCATTGAGTATTACACTTAAGGCCCAATTGCTTCTTAGTTTAAATGAAATACTTCGTGCCTTTGCAAATGAGACATGGAGTGCCTTTGCAAATGTGTGACAAAGGGGGATAAATCATTATTTAAGAAATTTAAATTATGTTAATGGCTTATTGGCTTGTAAGTTGTAACTACTAGTATGAAATATTGAGGAAATATTTTGGCTTGTAAGTTGTAACTACTAGTATGAAATATTGAGGAAATATTTTGTACAAGAAGAATCCATAAAGAGATCAAACATTATCGAGTCATCGTATAACTTCATAAGTTAATAGAGTGAAATCGTTTTTCTAACATAGTGAGATCAGTGAGATAAGCTTTTGTTGTTGTGGGCGTTAGCCTACATAATTTTGTTTGGTGTAGAACTGTAGATCAATCTTGTATATATAACCTAACGCCTAATCCTGCTCATTGCTCAGTCTAACCCGATCTAACTTGTAAAAGTTTTTAAACTTTACGAACACTCGAATTATGTAAGAACTCGTGATCAAACACCTTAATAAACGTGTCGTGTTGCAAGCTCAGCCCGTCCACACAAAATGGGCACGGCAAGGCAGCACGACCCAGTGATCCACTATCTTAGAGCCTAAAAAAAATTTACGAACCCCCCAAAAGAAAAAATTCTGCATAATGAGAGCTGAGATTCTGTAACTTGAGAAAACAAACACCATGAACTTGTTACACAAAACCCTCACTAAAACCTCCAAATCAACCATCTTCTTCCCTTCAATCCCCCCAATTCGTCAACACCCATTTTCTCTCTCCTCCTCATACTCAACCAAACTCCCAATTGATGATAGCAGGGAGAAGAAGAACTTGGCAAGACCAAGTGAAATTCCATTTCAACCAAAGGTTGTAAATAGAGTCAATTTTGTTGGTACTGTAACTATGCCTGTAAAAGTTTGCACTTCTGCTGATGGAAAATCATGGGCTAGTACTGTTATTTCTCATCTACGGCAACCCTTGTTTACTTCTAATTCTCTCTGGTATATCATCGATTTCAGAATCCCATTTTCAATTTTGTTTCTTTTTGTGTTTTTGATTTTGTGGGTTGATTTTCATGGTGTTTAATTGAATTGGGTTGATGTTTGATTTGGGGTTTATTGGGAATTTTGGTTTTTGATTGAAAATTGTGTGATTTTGGTGTTTGATTGAGCTATGTAGTTTACTTTAAGAAATTGTGTGATTTTTTTGTCAATTATAATGAATTTGTTGTAGGTTGATTTTCGGGTATGTTCTTTTGTTTTCTGATGTTTTTGGGACTAAATCTTTGACATTGTGTGAGTGTTTTTTGTAGAACATGTAACCTGACTAAAATCTGTTCTCTTTAGTTGAAACACCATCAAGATTTGCAATTGTTTATAATTGGTATTTCTCTGAAAGTCTTAAGCATGGATAATGAGTAAGCAAAGCTCATTAGACTGGACCAAATGGAGGGGCAACTTTGCGAAGTGTGGTTTTGAATACGATAGACTAGTTTGAAAGGACAACTGATGGTAGATAGTATGATGCTTTTGATGATTGGAGAGTTAGACTTGTTGCTAACTTGCTATACTGCAGTCTCAATTTTAAGTGGTTTATTGGGTTTTTGCTGCTTTTGTCAGTTTATGTTAGAAAAACAGACTGTTAATATATGTTTGGTATCTTGTTGAAATTCCTAATCTCATCAGAGAGTCATATAATAAGGCTCCTTAGACTAGCAAATGGATGGAATGGTGTATGTTCAAGTGGTTGGAAATACCTGTTTAGTGTTTACACTCTTTCTACTCTAGCTGGGATGGTGTAAGTTCAAGTGGTTAAGTGGGGTTGTTCATTGCCTATACCTCCTCTGTGTCTATTTATGTTCCTTTCTCCGGCTACATGCTTAAATGCTTTGATGCTTGTTTGATTGCTAATCTGATTTTCTCTGTGCTTTTGAGCTGTATTTCCTGCTTGAAGTGATGGAAATTTTGATGTTAATATACACCGTGATCCCTGGTGATTGTGATACTTGGGTTAGTGTATTATTGAAATAAGGTGATTTAGTGGTGACTGGGAATTCAAGTGATGAAAGAGGGTGGTTGATAAGGATTTATTCTCCCTCTTTCTCTCTTTTAGATATGAGTACACGTGTGCCCACACAATCACAAATACAATTACCTCACCATCATCAATTCGAATAAATTTATAGTTATGGAGATGTATGGTTATAGAACACTTTAGTTTACTGGATGACATTGTATTGTATTGGAATTAAACCTCAAATCTTAGGCTTCTTTGTGATACATTATTACAATTCATAGCAAGCAAACACACACACACACACACACACACACACACACACACATTGTGTAGCACAATTCATTTTCTAATATTCAAGGGCATTGGTGTGAGAACATAGTATGAATACATGATATGCATGTATAGTTCAGGTTATGCCTATGTAGCATGGAAATGACTCAGGTTTTAGGAATTTTATTTTTTTATTTATTTATTGTTGGAAACAGGAAAACCTCAAGTTGGAGCCATTCCTAGGTTTCATTAGCATGAAATTGGGCTGGGTTTCAAATAGCTTTCCTTGTAGTTTCTGTGCTTCCTAGGTTTATGCTACTGTGTGTATTATGAAGCTAATGGGTGCCTGTCAGATATATTTGTATAAATATCCTTAATTGTAATGTAAGTGCATTTTGAACTAATTGTTTCTTCCTAATATCCCTTTAACTAGGATTCCTATAATATTTGAAGGTGACTTGGCCATCACTGCTGCTACCCATCTGAGGGAAAATGATAATGTACACATTGCCGGACACTTGAGTTCAGCACGTTTGCCAATCGATTTGACTGATTACCCATCCAAAGTCCAGGTAATGTTGTGCTTCTCTCTTTTTGATTACATTATTTCTTTCTTGGTCAAATCAAATGCTATAATTGAACTAATTGGTGCTGAGCATAGGCTTTACCTATAACATGCTTAACTTTATGTGGGAAGCATGTAATGTAACTAATGAGGTTCAGACTTGCATTTAGCATTTGATGAGAATTGCAACATGTTCCTTGTGATCCCTTTCTGCTCTGATGGCAGGCCATTGGTTTGAAAGCTCATGAGCTGATTTAGTTAATTGCGAAGGAAACCAAAAAAAAAAAAAAAATTACGGTGTATTATTTTTTGTTTTTTGTTTTTTTTGTTTTTTTCTGTTGTGACTCAAAAGTCAAGACTATACGTATTTAACATAGCAAGTGCTAATATGTAAAGTTGTAATGTGATTAACTAATATCTTAAGTTGTCTAGTACACAATTCCATCACTAAATTATAATCCTGAAACCAGGTCTTATTGTTAGAAACCTGTAAAGGTGCTATAGACTAGGACACTTGAGCTATTTGAAGAGACAACAATATAGAGACTAGAGGAAAGCTTGAAGGATTTGATTGATAATGTTAATAACGGCTACAAAGAAAACAGGGAACTACAATGCTTTGAGGAATACTCTACTGCTACTACTACTACTGTGTTACTACTGATTTCACCAAAAATATGAATTTTACTGTTGCATTGCCTATCCTTATATATCAAGCTTCCCCTACAAAAAGTACTCTTTACATTAAACTTCCTTGTCATTTACTGACTGTGCTGACAGTATTCCTTTCACCACCAAGCTTAGTGGAACATTAATTTTCCTTGTCTTTTTCTTCATACAATTGCTGCAGCTCTTCACCTTGTCTCTTGTTCTTTTGTTTGTGCCTCCTTTCATACACCTTGAGCGGCTGTTGGTGTTCTTTGTCCTGCTCCATTGCAAAAGGCTGTGATGCTGTTTTCTATTGACACCACAATACTAAGTGTGGAACAATATAATCAATGTGGCAATGCCGCAACAAGAATCATTGAGAGTGACCGGAGCATTATTAAACTCTCCAAATGTACAAACTTAGTGTTTCAGGTTAAGCTTTCCCATGTGCATAGAAATATCCACCATGGTATAAATACATGCTATGTCTTTTTCCAACAATGTGCTTCTCAACTATGCATACTGGTCAGTTGACCATCCCGAGCTATCAGCCTTTCACCTAGCCAACAGTCTGGGAGCTAATCTATGTAATAATAATGTATACGAAGTATAATGTAAGTATACTAGTTCCTTCCTAGTTCAGAAAAACTGGCTCTGTAACTAATCCTTCTGCCAAATATTTGTCTCTCATATACTTCCTCTGATTCAAATTATATTCGTTTTAACTATTTTCCTTTGATCCAAAATGTAAGTCATATTACATTACTAATGCAATATTAAATACCACTTTATAATATCAATATTGTATTATACTTTATAGGTTACATAATAATGTTCATACAGATTTTAAATGTCGCTTTACAATGCCAATGCAACTTCAGCTAGATTCCAAACACGTGTAAAACTTGTTAAAATGACCTATATATCAGGACAAAGGGAGTTTATCTTAGTATGCACGATTCCAATGGCTGAATAGAGAACTTCATCTTTCATAATCTTATTTGCTCTTTTGTGGGGAAATGACAAGCTTTAAAGCTATCTCATCACTTAAGGAGCGGGAAGGAGGGAGTATGTTTTCCTGCCTTTTCATTTTCCTCTCTCTTTTTCTCACACTGATTTACGTTGCGCTAAGGTGCAAGGGTTAGGTGTTGGGTGTGGATGGGAGGGTGGTGGGTGTATGAGCGTTACTGCGTTAGGATAAGGTTTGAGGTGTGAAAGCCCATGCCATTTTTTAAGAGTCCTGAATTTATTGTTCCACTTTTTTAAGTTTCTAGATGATGGTCTTCCTTTAAGAAGCAGAGGAGTTAGCTTTAGGTTTTGTGATCAATTGGAGCATGCAAATGAACTTGCTCAGCAACAAAAAAAAAAGAGCTTTTAGCTTAGGGCTTTAGGCAATTCTCATGTGTAATTTGCGTTCATTAGCTTATATAATTTGTCCCTGTACCCAAAAATAATTATCACATTGGTACAACCCTTCATATATAAAGAACTAAAGGATTTACTATAATCATTTAAAAGTACTGCCCTTTTCATCCTCGTTCGTTCAACCACTCATCTAATTTTGAACGGGGGAAAGGGGGGTGGATTTTGTGTTCGTTAGGTTATATTTCCAAAATACCTTTTTGTGATAATTTGTCATTCTTAATTTTCATGAGTAATTAATTTTTCTTTTGCCCTATGTCAATTTAAATGTGGCAGGTTATGGTTCACTATGTTAATTTTGTTCGTCAATTCCATCCTGAAGTGATGAAACATCTCCTCTTCAATCAAAGAAGAGGCAAAAAGATGAAACCTCACCCCAGATCATAATATGAACTGTGCGTGCCTAATTACTTTGGTAAATCCTATCTTAACTCTTAACTACATCTACATATGGCTTATTGTTTACAAAAATACAGAAATTCGAATAACAACTAGAGTATGAAGTAAAACTGTGTTTGGCTTGAATTTTTCATGCAGGAATTTTAACAGCCACTGTAATCCTTATTCATGCAACTAGAGTATGAAGTTCATTAGTTTTGTTTTCGATTTTTTTCATGCAGGAATTTTAACAGCCACTGTAATCCTTATTCATGCAAGTAAATACATACTTTGTAACAGGCAGTGGATGAATATAGATTCCGTCACTGAATCAATCAAACACGAGACAATTGTCTTGTGAACCCGGAGGACCAATGAGAAAAATCTGTGAAACAGAAAACTCTTGCCATATTAATCACAGATTATCCAGGACAAAGTAATGCTGTCTAATTAATGATCATTATCCATTTATAGATGATTTGAAAGTGATGTAAAAATATGATTGCTACTTTGGGAAGTCGGCAGGGCTGTGAATTATAAAACAGAAAGGTACATCTTCTTCAATATGTACATACTAAACTGGTGTGAACTTTTGGTGTTGGATTGGATAATACAGTACTTGTATACAACTTTGTTTTCAAGCCTTGAACTTGATATGTTAACAATTGTTTGATTTTTATTTTTGTATCATACTAGCTCGGAAAAATACTATCTTGTCAAGGTTGGGAGGAGCCCGGGAGGGGTTCCCAACCCTGACTAGAATAAATCGCGCAACAGCACCTTACAGTGAGATGAGGGAAATTTAGAATCAGAAAACGAACCAGAACCCGAACCATTTGGTTGGATTGGAGATTATCATTTTGAAAATCACCTCAAAAACAGAAAGGAAAAAAAATCCTGTCGAAAAGTGAATGATAATCACAAAAATTGTGTGATTGATAAACAAAGTAATGAATGACGTGGAAAGGGTAGTTGAGACAACGTCGACTTCAATCGTCAAGCTTTCTGATCAGGTATTTCCCACGAATACATGACGTTGTCTCCTGCTGCGTAACTGCTTACCATTTTACCATAGAGTCCTTATACGTTACGGACTAGATATTTTATTTACAAACTTTGCCAGCTCATACTATGTTGTAATACTCCATTACTCTATCTGTTCTTTAATTTTTGTTCCGATTTTTTTATTATTATTATTATAAGCATGTCCTTTTAAATTTGTCGCGGACGTAATGAGGGGTGGGGGGCCCCAACCCAAACATGGCTCAAAATTTTCATTGTAGATTAGGTATGTGTGTTTTGAATCATAACTAAGGATGTAGGAGATTGAGAAATGGTTAGTCCCGACTTCTCATACCCCATTCCTGTGACACGGGTAGGGAGGGGGGAGGGGTTCCCTGTGTATGATTCTTAATATTGACACCGGTGATTAATGATTCCTAGCTTCGTCGTTGTACACAATACTACTTTTGATAAGGCTAACAAGCTCAAATAAGTTTATAATAGGTATTAAAAGATTATTTTAACCAAAAGTTCAAGTTGATAGTTGAACCCATAATTGGTTTATAATCAGTATGAGATAAGTAAATTCATTACATGAATAAGGGCTACTCAGATTCATTTACATTTGGAATTCTAAGTATTAGTTCATATATTTTCTAATAAGCTTAATCAATAACTCATAATTAAGTGAATCAGATAAATAAAATACACTTAAGTGAATAAAATAGTGCCTAATTGAAACAATAGATATCGTAAAAGAGATGTATTTCGGTGACACATACTCCATATAAAATACCATTCCAATATCCCCCGAAAGATCAAGACTTTTACCGATTAAGGGTCTGTTGTCTTCAACTTAGGGCATGTTCATATTTACTGAATTGAGTTGAACTGAACTGAACTGAACTGATTGGAGCTGAACTGAACTGAACTGAACTGATTGGAGCTAAACTGAACTGAACTGAAAAATTAAAATGCATAAAAATATATGAAAATGTTTATGAAAATTGATGATAATATATATAGTGTATTGTGAAAAATATAAAAGTGTATTAAAAATAACTTTGTATTTTAAATTATTAAATTTTTGTGTATTATATTTTAAATATATATATAAAAATAAAAAGTATTCTTCAATATTTTACTGTAGTCAATCGTTGCTTGTTGTACTCTACATAATTTTGTTCGTTTACATGAACTAGGGATTCCATTCACGCACCAAGTTGAAGTCATGGGACCAACAGAAGATCATACTATGTACGATGATAACAGAAAAACAGCTATGGATATTGTACGAAACCAAATAACTGATCAGATATGGGAGTTAATTCAGAGGAATGTCGAGGTAATGGAGCAACTTAATGAAGAAGAAGAAGAAGACGAAGAACTAACCGATTATGAAAGCTAGTAACTGTTGTGTAGTACTCTCATTTTGTCAATGAGTTCAACTATAAAAAAACATGTGACCATTTTGAACGACGAATATAATTTAAAATAATAATAATAATAATAATTATTATTATTTTTATTATTATTATTATTATTATTATTATTATTATTATTATTATTATTGTTGTTGTTGTTATTATTATTATTATTATTATTATTGTCGTTGTTGTAATATGCTAAAACATCTAAAACAAAAAAATTAACAACTGAACTAACTGATTAGAGCTGACCTGAACTGATTAGAGCTGAACTGATTGGAGCTGAACTGAACTGAACTAAACTGAACTGAACTGAAAATAAGTAAATATGAACAGACCCTTAATTACAATTCAGTTCAATTCAGTTCTAATCAGTTTTGTTTAGTTCAGTTCCTAATTTCCTTCTCTCATAAACAATTCAGCTCAGTTTAGCCTAGTTTAGTTCAACTCTAATCATTTCAATTCAGCTCATTTCAGTAAATCAGAATAAGCTCTAAGTTAGTTATCCCGTCATCTAAACCAAAGCCTAATTTTGAGAAAGAAAAAAAAAAAAAAAAAAAAAAAGAAAAGAAGATTCTTGAGCATTGAATACTCAAGTTGACGCATCCAGCGTGGTCCAATGTATCAACTAAAAAAGATTATTTCATTTGCAGAATCTCACCGGCACCTCAATACTTTTCGTTTTCATACAACAGAACAACTCTAACAAATTTCTCATTTACAACTTCCACTTTGCCAATACTTCAGGAAATTAAACCATATATTATACACATTCATATTTTTTAATATCATATATTATATCATTATATTAGTATTTGCATATATTGCAAGTATTAGACCAAGTTATTTGTTTTTAATTGACCAAGTTGAAGAAGACGTATATATTTATTTATTTATTGCCTTCCCATTTATTCATTTCTCCCAAATCTCACGGTATCGAAACTATCAATCAAAAATCAACCTTTTTGAAGAGGATTTCTTTTGCTTAATTTCTAGGCGCACAACATTAAAGTGGTCAGAAATTATTTCGGCAAAGCGGGAAAAGGGAAAAGAGGTAAAGAATTTGTTCGATTTTCATTAAAGTTTCCACCTTTTTTGCCATTTTGTTTATTTTTTTTTTGTTTTTACTGGAAAAAAGGCTCAATCTTTATATTTTTTGTGTGATTCCATAATACCCAGATCGTAAATTTTTGTGGGGTTGTTGTATTTGTGTAAGATTTGTGTTTTTCATTGTTGGGTGTTTTCGATCTGATCTTGTCCAGGTACTTGATGATTTGTTTGTGTATTGTAATTTTTTTTTTTTTGTTGAATTATTGATCTTAGATTTTTGCATGGTGGATTTTGTTGGATTGAGAATGTGATGGTTTAATTTTGTTTTTTTTTTTTTTTTTGAGAGAGTTTAATTTTGTTTATTGATAAATTTTAGGAGTAGAATTTTCTGTTTGTTTTTAAAATTTGGATTTGCTGGACATTTTTAGCCGTTTTTAGTTTGAATTTTAGGTTTTGTCATCAAAATTTGGCAGCTGAGCTCTTAATTTCAGTGGAAATTATGTTAATTTGAGGGATTTTTTTTCTTCCCAATATTCGATTTCAGGTTATGCACTTCAGCACTTATGCTGTAATGTGATGAATCGTTCAAATTGCAACAGTCTTTTGTGAATTCATCAGCTGAATTGATGTTTGTTGTGATGTGAATGCAGAAAATTTAACTACTTGTTGATTCTGATTCACTGCTAAATCAATGTTCAGTCATCTTGCAAATTTTTCATTTTATGGAGTGTTAGTTATGACATGTAACTTTCACTATATGAATCTCTGAATTATTAACCACTCTATTTATATGGGATATTGCACCAACAGTTTTGGAAGAATATGTAATGCTGATTGCTAGTATATATTCCACGTGTTTCGAGTCTTAATTTTCTTTAAATATAGTAGTATATCGACTTGTTGCTATATCCTTTTGTAACTATGTTCAATTACTTGTAAAGCAATAACATTAGAAAGCTAGCTGATTCTGATATTTCATGGATCATGATGTATAAGCTTTTTTTATTCAGTTTCTAGTATTCTGACAAATTAAACTGAATATTGTTGTTGCAGTTTTGTTCATTATCATCTAGTAGACCCAGGGTCCCGGGGGCATCTGGGTATTTTTACAATGGAATACGAAAATCATAGTTGGATTTGGGATGGAGTTTGCTACTACCCGCATGTATTTGGAGGAATAATGATCACAGCAGCTCTACTTGGTCTATCGACAAGCTACTTTGGCGGGATTGGAGTTCATTATCTGCCTTATTTGTGTCCTGGTTTTGGTATTTTGAAAAAGCGTGCACATGAGAAGAAACGTGTTAGAGTGTACATGGATGGATGCTTTGATTTGATGCATTATGGTCATGCAAATGCACTGAGGCAAGCAAAGGCTCTAGGAGATGAGTTAGTTGTAGGAGTTGTTAGCGATGAAGAAATTTTGGCTAACAAAGGGCCTCCAGTGTTGTCTATGGAAGAAAGGTAATCAACATAAAATCGTTGTTAATGATTATATGTCATTTGTTAATGGCTAATGGCCGATATGGGTATATCATAGTCGTGTACTCGTCATCATTGATTTTATTTAGAAGAGTTTGTGTCATGACTCACTTTCATTTATTACTCTGAAGTATACAGATTCAATATCGGGATTTAGTGGCTTTCTATAAATCCATTTTGCTGCAAACTGTTACCTGATTTGTTAGGATCAAAAGACCTTGCAGAAGACTTTAGTAAAATTACATACGAAGTATTTCATGAAAATTAGTAGTTGGATGCTAGGAACTCAGTGTTATGAATCATTTGTCTTGGTTATTTTTGGGTCTTTAATGCTACTCATTGCTGCTGCTTCAGTGCTCTAAATCAAGTCAACTTTCAGGTTGGCACTGGTTGGCGGGTTAAAATGGGTCGACGAAGTCATTCCTAATGCTCCCTATGAAATTACTGAGCAGTTTATGAAAACTCTCTTTAAAGAGTACAAAATTGACTATATCATACATGGTGATGATCCTTGCTTACTACCTGATGGAACTGATGCTTATGCATTGGCGAAGAAAGCTGGCCGCTACAAACAAATCAAACGTACAGAAGGAGTTTCAAGCACAGACATTGTAGGTATTATTTCTTTTATTTTCCTCCCAATGACAAATTAAAAGCGTAATTTTCAGCTAAAAAGAGACTCTAGCATTCGGCAGTTGGTATAGATTACTACACATATGGGTTGGTTTATCTGGTTTCTTTATGATTTCCACAATATGTTGTATGGTGTGGATTAGCTTCGACTCCTGTGCATCTCTAGCCATGTATCTGATGTGCTCCAAACTATCCATTGTGAACATTAGACCAAGGGGGCAGGATGGAACTGATCTGCTTGTTGTGAGAGAGAAAGAGAGACCTGATGCCTTTGAATTGTAGTTGATTTTAATGCATGGTGTTTCACGTATATGTAGGAAGGATACTTCTAACTGGTCGAGATCACAGTGCTCACAAAGATAGTGATGATCTGACTTCACATCAGGAATCTTGTGGCGTTAAGCAAGTCACTAAGATAAAGCAGCCTACAGTTGGTCATTTATCTCATTTTCTTCCCACCTCCAGGCGCATTGTGCAGTTCTCAAATGGGAAGGTATCTAAAGTTATTATAGTGATGATTTTTTTTTATTCCCATTTATATTGCTTTCTGAATCAGATAGGATTTATTACTTTCGTTACAAAATCCTGAAGAAATTGTAAAAAGAATGTATAAGTGGAAACTGGAAAGGCTTACCATTTTAAGGACCTTGCATGATGAAGAATCTGGCGAAAACCTACGCTTTGAATAGTACAAAATTGTGAAGAAATGCAGGGGTATCTCTTAATGTCTTTAGTTTTGTCTACCTTCTAAGCTAAGGGTACTCTTCTGGTGTATTGTGATCTTTACTGCTAAACTCTACAAGCATATACCAGTAGAAATACCTAGCAGGCTAAAGGGGCGTTCTACCAGAAAATGTAGTGAGCTACCTTGGTTAAGAAAAGAATGATAATGTCTTCGTAACTTTATGCAAGCTATATATAAATATAATGCTGACCATATCTTTTATTAAAAATAGGTTCTTGTTGACCTTTCTTAACTGTATTGAGCTAGTATGTATAAATTGCCAAATAATTTGATCTGTTCTTTAGGCATCATTTTAAGTGATTAGTGTTTTGAGAATGATTTTTTCAACTTCCTCTTAGTCCTTGCGCCAATTTCTTACTGCCTTTTCCAATTGTTGCCCCCTTTAAAAAAAAAATGAAAACGCTTGGTCTTAATTATAATATTGCATTTTCATCTGAATTATGATTGCAGGGGCCGGGACCAAATGCTCGTGTTGTGTATATTGATGGAGCATTTGATCTTTTCCATGCTGGACATGTCGAGGTGAATCATAGATTCCCTTAATTCTGCAATTTCTGATGTTCATGATTCTTCGAAGATTACTGCATTTACTAATTTTTCCATGATAGCTTTGTAAAATGTGAAAATAACGCTTTGTTTTACTGCTTTAATTATCTGTGCTGGATATATGACTATATGATGCTCAAAGACTTAAACAAAGTAGCTTTCTTGAGAAATTAGTTTGGAAGCTTGATTAAGGGCCTTTTAAATAACTGAGTATTCTCTGCAAACATTGGACATATCACAAATCAGAAAAAACAGTGATTTCATAGAGTTTATTTAGTTTGAGTTTGCAGAAAATTGATCTATTTTATGGGTATTGCTTTGATCAATAATTGGGAGACAGCTGCATGTTCTATTGTTGTTTTTCCTTTGTTATTTAAATAGTTTATCTTCATGAAAACATATTTACATTCGTCTTTTCATGGTTTCACTGCTGGACTTTCTCAGCTGTGTCTTATGATTGCAAGCGCTTAGTTTTCTTCCTATGCATACAGATACTTAGAGCTGCTCGACAGCTTGGAGATTTCTTACTTGTTGGCATTTACACAGACCAAACTGTCAGGTATCTTGTTTCTTATCCTATCTATTCTTTCATTGTAATTAGATTAAGATACACTTTGGTTTCATCTACCTGGCAAGCTGATGTCAGATATTATAGGACTGCTAGAGTCAAAACTTCTACTACCTCCGTTTCATATTATTTACAACGATTTGACATACAGTTGAGAGGAAAAATGTCTAATTGTTGCAAATAATATGAAACGAAGTTAGTATTTTATTTTGTAATAGTGTCTAATACATTGACTACATGGTTTCTTAATGATGTTCCGCAGTAGTTATTTTATGTTATTTAAAAAGAGAGTCCTTGTTCCCCCCCCCCCCAAAAAAAAAAAAAAAAAAAAAAAAAAAAAAAAAAAAGAAGAGTCCTTGTCTTTTATAACGAGAAAACATAAAGTTTTCCCTTGGCTGATCTTCAGAAAATAAATGGTCCTTGTTCCTTGCAGTGAAATTCGGGGGCCAGGATATCCATTGATGAATTTACATGAGCGCAGTCTCAGTGTATTGGGTTGTCGTTATGTTGATGAAATCATCATGGGTTCACCGTGGGAGGTCACTTCGGACATGGTTTGTTCTCTTTCATTTCAGTTATTTCATTAATTTTAGTTTAATTATTTCAACGTTTGAGAAAACTTTAGTTAGATCTCAATAATTGGAAAATTTGCTCCATTTTGTTGAATATTTCAACTGCTCTATTCTTTGTCTGTGATTTTTGTAATTAGAAATCACTAATTCATAGTCACTGAGATCTCAAGGAAATTGCAAGTTTGCTTTATAGGTACAAGCTAACATTAATGTGAAGCTGTAAATACCCAGTTAATAATTCCAAGAAATTCTGAAGTATTAAAGAAGCTAGAAAGTGTTCAGTTTCTTTTTTTTACACATAATTGAATTTCCTGGTTAACTTCTATGCTTCTTTAGCAGTAGAGAAAGTAAGAAGCTTGTAACAGCTGAGTAAACACAGTATCATTCCTACTAGTTGTGTTGATGGGATTATTTGTGTTATCTATGTTGGCAACAAGTAAATGAATTCAATATTAATGACTTCATTGAAGCAACCAGTTTACTATTTCTTAGATTTGTGGATCCGTTTCTATTTTTGTGAGACATTATGCTAACACCAAGTCTTTTCGGTGCAATGGGAAAGCAGGTAACAACCTTCAACATTTGTTTAGTTGTACATGGAACAATATCGGAGGCTAATCCTCTAATCAATGTAAGCTCTTCTCGATGTACTGCTCATAATTAATCAAAAGCTACATTTGAAAGAAAAACATGAACCTGAGCCTGAACTATTTCAATCCTGTGTATTTCAGGGAGATGTTGATCCCTATGCAGTGCCCAAGAGTATGGGTATTTTCAGGATAATTGAAAGCCCCAAAAACATAACTACGTCTTCTGTGGCTCAAAGAATTATCACCAATCATGAAATCTACAAGGTACATTCATACATCATAAAATAATCAAAACTCTGCCATTCTCTCGTTCGGAGATTCAAATCATCCCATCATATTTCCATCTATGCAGAAACGAAACCTTAAGAAGGTGCAAAGTGAGAAGAAATACTATGAACAGAAGACATATGTGTCGGGAGACTGAGACTCCCTAAATGTCATTAGACATACCTCAATCGATGCAAGCCTCCCTAGAACAGGCTTAGAATTGCATGTATAGTTTGCAGATAGATACTCGTGGATAGGCTCAATGCTAACAGCTCGAGAAAGAAGATAGCAAGCCAAGTCATTGATTGAACCTAGGCTACCCTGAGTTGCCTAACAACCTGGTCGTCCTCTCTCCGCCTCTTTCTCATTGCTAAGTCATCAGTGGTAATGCAGTACATCCTCAATTATCAATTAGCAGAATATGCGGCTCGTATTTATATTTATATCATAATCGTGAAAGTTCACTCACTCTGCAAGGAGGAAGTTTTGTTGTGTATCTCTACTGAGTTTAGGGAAATATATTTTTTATTATTTTTTTTCTTTTATTTTTTACTTCTTTTTTCTCTTTGTTTCGTGGGGGGTTTTACACCCTTTCAGGCCCTATTTAGTCGTGTATTTGTATTATTTATCTACCATGAAGATTCATTCTTTTAACTCTCTTTGTTGAATGGAGTAATATGCTCAAGTTGATAAGCTTTTGCGTTTTTGTTAAAATTTATCGACTCATTCGAATACAGCTGAACCATAAGGTACTGCGTTTATGCTGAACAGATCACAAATTAACCAGTTCTCAGGCTCACTGAAATACATGAGTATGATGCATTTTGCAGTTTTACACCTAGTCCCTGATTTCCTTGCTTGAAAACTTTGAGTTGCACTCAAATTTTTTATAAAGAAAAACGAATTAATGGTTTGACATAGAACCTAATGAATTAATGATATCAATTTTTAAAGAAATCACTGCAACTTATTATTTGATGGTTTAGGGATTAAAGGTTATAGGACCTTAGGCCTTAGCACACACACAACACACCCATGAACCAAGAGAATAAAAGATCAAGCAATTACGACAATATTCTGGGTTTGAGCCAAATCATATACTGGTACTTCGTGTAAATCCTGAAGAAATCCTTTAAAATTTACAATCGATCAGGACATGAACATACAAACTGCTTTATAAAATCATGCTTTTCTAGCAACCTAAACAACCCCGCTTACTCTCCAAGATCTCCTCACCACTAGATAGAAACAACAGATCATAAAAAATTATGCTTCTACATCAAAAACAGTTCCCATCACTAGGGAACACTTGTAGCAGTGAAACTTCCCTTCAGTTCATGACCATAACTGCTCAGGTCAAATTGTCAAATCTTCTTCAACCTCAAAATTCAACCTAAATTTTCGACCTACTACGTACATTGATAATTGGCGGTATCTGTCACTTATTCACCTGTACCACACAATTGGAGTTGAGGTATTCTGAGGAGGTTGAGGAACCATGCAATGTTGCTGTTGAAGCCATTGATGTTGCAAGCCTTCGTTATAATTAGGAAGGTTACTGTACTCACTTGCTATTCCAACATTTGCAGCATCCTGATCTTCAACTTCCATCATTGCTGTTTCCATCTCTTCAGCATCCATTGATTCTGACACATCTGTTTGAGAAGCAAGAGTTTGTGATACTGGGTTGACAGTCTGAGATGGCACCCAAGGGATGACCGCCCTGCATCCATTCTCCTCAAGGTCATTTTCATTGGCTTCATCCTCATCGTTGATTCCACCAGACTTTAGGCTGTTCCAAAAAGTTTGATCTATAAAAAGATTCAAGTTAACAGCTCAGTCATTTGTGTTCTATACATTCACTCAATAAATTACTAGTAGAGATCATATGTAAGATGTTCCAGTGCTTTGCATGAAAGAGAATAGAAAACGGAAAAAGAAAAGGTATTGAGACTAGCAAAAAAAACAGAACTCAACATTGTTTAAATATCCAGCAAACTAACAGCAATCATTCTCTAAATGCTGAGAGAATCACGCATCAAGGACTCAAGGATGCATTGTATAGGACCTTTAGCCACTTAAAGTAAACCCTGTCAAGCCACTAAACTAAAGAATAACACGAGCTTAAAATTGCACCAATTAGCAGCATCCTATCAAAACCTTATCTAAGCGATAAGCCCATACTTCACCATTAAAAACACATATGACATTGAACCATTGATGTCTTAGTATTATCATTCTCCAACTAGATCAAATTATTAGTTTATCCTACTTCATATAAAAACAAGAACGGAAGCAACCATCCCAAACTCCAAGTATGAATCCCGCTCTAAGCAAGGCTTTCTAATCCTGTCCCGACAACTTTATTATCAGAACAAACTACCACATAAAAAGAGCCAGCATCAGTATTTAAAGTAGTCATCAACACTAAATGGTCAACATCTGACAAATAAAAAATTTATAAAATAAGATTACTAAATGTTGAACACAAACAACAGAAACTGGGTAGGTTAAGTAATATAGATAACTCACTTTTAAAAAAAGACACCAAATTCGGATCAACGGAAAAACTCCCTTGAGAGAAAACACTATGATCCTTCATAGGTTTGAATAGAACAATGGCTTTCTCTTCATTCTCAGGAATAGATGGAAGCTCCTCAATGTCCAGTGGATTCACTTGATCTCCCAAACCACTGGAAATGTTGTTCTGAGGCACCGATTGCCCATAAACCGGCTGAAAATCTAGTTCCTCATCTTCAATAATTGGCGGCAAATCAGCATCCTAATCAATCCCAAATTCCGACATTAGAAACTTCTTCATATCAACCAATGAACTAATAACTTCACTCTGAGTAAGTAAATGACATAATTACTCAACTAAACACCAATTATCTTAACCACAATCATCAAACCATGACTTAATTCGTTAGACTATCCTAATTAATCCTCGAATTTCGAAACTTAATTTAGTAACTACCTACTTAATTCTTAACCTATTTCTGATCAATCAGTGAATCAGACATCTAAATGACTAATTTCCAAGAACAAACACTATAAAGTTCACTCAATTTCACACAATTCATGCAAAAATAACTGAACAACAATTTAACAAGCAAAATTAGGGAATTGAACTGCTACTGTAAGAGAAGAACAAGATTAGAGCAAATTAACATCTCTGCTATTCAGCTCAAGCATAAATATTATAAAAATGCACAATTAACCAAGAAATTAAGATCAATTAGAAATTTAGAGCCTAAAAACCAGCAATTGTCCAATTTTTCCAGAATCAAATAAGCTAAAATCAGAGCCCTAGGAGAGAGAAAAATCAAAGTAACAACAGATTCACTTCAATTTACGGAGTATACTAAAAGAAGAGAGAGAAAATTACCAAACGACGGATTTTCCGAGCAGGAGAAGAGAGAGAAAAATCGGAGAAATCATCATTAACTTCCTCCAAATCCTTCCTCTTGAGCTTAAATCCATTGTAATCCTCCATTAATTGATCCTAATTTGTTGTTACTTTGATTTTTCTCTCTCCTAACAGAAGAAGAAATCAAAGGAATCAAAAACCCTAATTTGTTGGAGAATTTCAATAATTAAAGATGATGATTAAAATTGGAGAGAAAAATGAAGAATAGTAGAAGTAAGTGGAAAATGAGAGTCTTGAGAAAGTTAATTAAGTTAATTAAATAATGTAGAAAGAAATAGAGGTTTCGGTTGAAGTCTAGATTTTTCCAGACTTGAAAATACCGGGAAATTCTCAAATTGCACCTTTTTTTTTTACATCAATCACAATGTGTTTTTTTTGGTTTCAAATGCGGCAAGGTGAGCGTATTATTAGCTCACTAGATTAGGCTCATGCGATGTATAATTTAAACAATATTATTTAGCTTATTTGTGTATAATATATACGTAGTATAAATAATTTAAGTAAAATTTAATAAATTGATAAATTAATAAAGAGTGGAAACCTCAATTCATATAATATGTATAAAATATACAAAGTAGGAGAAAATTATAATGTTTATAAGAAAATAAAACAGTCCGACCTTCCTTTAATTTCTCCAATAAAATTTGCTTAATTAGTTCATTAATTTAAATATAAAATCTGTTAGGATACAAAATAATTAATTCACTATTTTCAAACTTTTATTTTTGTTGGAAAAAAATGATATCGTCATTATTAGTTTTGGTGGGAAAATTTTGTATAAGAGTTTGACATGTGTATATTAATGACATCAGCAATAATTACTTTAGTTATATTTATAGATAGTAATATTCGGTGGATTGTGCACACGATAGCATGATCGGAAAGGGGCAAAAGGCTAGATGTACGCTTGGTGTATGAAAGAAATTTGTACATCATTAGTGGAATTGTAGAAAGTTAGCAAATTCCGCTGAATAGAAGAGGGAAGTTGAAGTTATTGGAAGGGAAAGTTGGGCGGCAAAACTTTTAGGCAATGTTAGTAGATTTTCAAGTTAGGAAGGATTTGCAATCGGAATATTTTGATTTTAGAGCTATTTTCTCTTCTCTATTTTATTAGAGAGAGTGTTTAGTGAAGTAGAATAAGAAAAACATGATTTGGACTTTGTTCCACCATAAATTTATAAAAATGAGGTTGGTGGTTAATCTAATGACTAATTAACCTAATTATTCTTTCACTATAGATTAGATTGTTTTATTGGTTGACAAAGCTGGATTGTTTAATTAATTTGGTGTAATATTTTTGTGTCTTTCTGTAGCTCCAAAAAAATCTGAAAATTATACTAAACCAGTTTAAGCAAAAAATTAACTAGTTTATAATTCTAACCGGGAGTTTAGCAAGAAGGATAGGGATAAATTGGTTTCAGGCTGTGTTGGGCCGGGGGTGTGATCCAAGCCCATGACCTTACGAGGGCATAGGTCTAACCCATGGATCAACCCATCACCAATTGATTGGGTTGGAACGAACACAAATTTTGAAAATAATGCCCTAGCACAACCCAGACCCATGGGTATCCAGGGTTAGGCTGGTCCATGTGTTGGCCTACGGGCTTTTTTTTTTTTTTTTGGGTGTTATCTACTAAGCTAATCTATTAGCCCAAAAACATTCATATTAATAGTCAGTCTGTCACCAAAAATTTTATAGGTAAATCACATAATACAAACCAAAATAAAAACTAACAGCTTAAAAGTAGTTGGGCGGCCTTGCAAAGGTATTTAATTAGGTTTCGATTAATAAGTTCAATTTTTTGTGTAAATCGTCCGATTCAGTTAAATTTAACTTTAGATATTTCAATTTTAGTGTTTAAATTTCATTTTGAAGAGGTATTTTAGTATTTGATTTGATTTTTAAGGTTTACTTTTTATTAACTTAATTCTACTGCTTTTTTTTATTATTATTTTTTAAGATTTGGTTCCCTCTACTAAATTGTTCGTAGTTTTAGTGTATTGATTTTAGTCGAAAACTTTAGAAATTGTAGAATGTTATGAATATGATTATAGATATCAATTGTGATTTTATCAATATAAATGTGATTATAATATATCAATTATTGTGACTATATCAATATAAATATGATTATGAGATATCAATTGTGATTATAAGATATCAATTGTGATTATATCAATATAAAAGTGACTGTATCAATATAAATATGATTATAAGATACCAAATTGTGATTATATCACATCTTTCATTAATAATAATGTTACTCATATTTATTTTGTATGTTTCATTTATAGAGAGAGAAAAAAATTCGAGCTCGGATGATGAATTGTTAATGGCGTCGATGCTAAAGATGTATGGAAAAGAGATCAGCGTTATTTCTTTTGTTTGGGTTTTACGGGTTTAAGGGTTAGTGGGCTGGGCTGGAGATTTTCAGCGTCTTCTGTTTGGTGGTTTGAGCACGTGACACTTTGGGTCCACAATAAGTTTATAGTGGACGAGGTCCACCCAAGATGAATTGTTAAAGTAAACCCTTCAAGGCCGAAACCTCCAAAATTTCTCAAAAAGCATGGATATTAGCCTTCAATTTTGGAATTTTTTGACTTTTTTTTTCACCCAGAAATAAAAATTGCTGAAATGTTAACCATGGTCCCTAATACCGTCCAGGAGTCCAATTGGCTGGGTGGAACTATCCAATTTTCCTTTAAACGACCAATTTACCGGTGTACAACTTGCACCGATTTCATTAACTCAGTCTTACCACGAACATTTATGAAAACATATAATGATCATATATGGATCCAATCGGCATTATATGACCCCGAGATGTATCCCTTAAAATCTAAATACTTTTCGACACCGGGCCTCGAAACATTAAAAATTTCTCAAAAGCATGGATATTAGCCTTTAATTATGGACTTTTTTTACTTTTTCTCGCTCGGAAATAAAAATTGTCGAAATGTTTACCATGATCCCTAATACCCTCTGTGAGTCCAATTGGGTGGTGGAACCATCCAATTTGCCTTTAAACGACCAATATACCGATTTACAACTTGCACCGATTTCATTAATTCAAGCCTACCACAAACATTTATGAAAACATATAATGATCATTTATGGTTCCAAACGGCATTATATTACCCCGAGATATATCTCCTAAAATCTCAAGCCTTTTCGACACCTGGCCCCGAAACCTCCAAAATTTCTAAAAAACCGTGGATATTAGCCTTCAGTTTTGGAATTTTTTGACTTTTTTCGCCCTGAAATATAAATTGCCGAAATTTTTACCATGTTCCCTAATACCCTTCGAGAGTCCAATTGGGTGGGGTGGAACCATACAATTTGCCTTTAAACGTCCAATTTACAACTTGCGTCGATTTCATTAACTCAAGCCTACCACAGACATTTATGACAACATATAACGATCATATATGGTTTCAAACGGCATTATATGACCCATAGATGTATCCCCTAAATTTTAAAGGCTTTTCGACATCGGGCCCGAAATCTCAAAAATTTCTCAAAAAGCGTGGATATTAGCCTTTAATTTTGGAATTTTTTTACTTTTCTTCGCTCGGAAATTAAAATTGCCGAAATGTTTACCATGGTCCCTAATACCCTCCGGTAGTCCAATTGGGTGGGTGGAACCATCCTATTTGCCTTTAAACAACCAATTTACAGGTTTACAACTTGCATCGATTTCATTAATTCAAGTCTACCACGAACATTTATGACAACATATAATGATCATATATGGTTCAAAACGGCAATATATGACCCCGAGATGTATCTCCTAAAATCTAAAGCTTTTTCGACACCTGGCCCCGAAACCTCTAAAATTTCTCAAAAATAGTGGATATTAGCCTTCAATTATGGAATTTTTTGACTTTTTTTGCCCGGAAATAAAAATTGCCGAAATGTTTGCCATGATCCCTAATACACCCCGAGAGTCCAATTGGGTGGGTGAAACAATCCAAGTTACCTTTAAACAGTCAATTTACCGGTTTACAATTTGCACCGATTTCATTAACTCAAGCCTACCACGAACATGTATGACAACATATAATAATCATAAATGGTTCCAAACGACATTATATGACCCCGAGATATATCCCAAAAATCTTAAGGTTTTCGACAACGGGCCCCGAAACCTCCAAAATTTCTAAAAAAGCGTGGATATATTAGCCTTCAATTTTAGAAATTTTTTTACTTTTTTTCGCCCGTTAATAAAAATTGACGAAATATTTAATATGATCCCTTATTCCCTCCGGGAGTCCCATTTGGTGGTTCGAACCATCCAATTTGCCTTTAAACGACAAATTTACCGATTTACAACTTGCACCGATTTCATTAACTCAAGGCTACTACTAACATTTAAGACAACATATAATGATCAGAATTGGTTCCAAACGGTATTATATGACCCCGAGATGTATCCCCTAAAATCTCAAGGTTGTTCGACACCGGGTCTCGAAACTTCTAAAATTTCTCAAAAAACATGGATCTTAGCCTTCAATTTTGGAATTTTTTGACTTATTTTCGCTCGAAAATAAAAATTGTCGAAATGTTACTATGATCCCTAATACTCTCCTGGAGTCCAATTGGGTGGGTGGAACCATCTAATTTGCCTTTGAACGGCCAATTTACCGATTTACAACTTTCACCGATTTCAATTAACTCAAGCCTACCACGGACATTTATGACAACATATAATGATCATATATGGTTCCAAACGGCATTATATGACCTCGAGATGTATTCCCTAAAATCTCAAGGTTTTTCGACATTGTACTCAACGTCAAAAATTTATCAAAAAGCGTGCATATAAGCCATCAATTTTGGAATTTTTTGACTTTTTTCGACTGGAAATAAAAATTGTCGAAATGTATACCGTGGTCCCTAATTCTCTCCGAGAGTCCAATTGGGTGGTTGGAATCATCCAATTTGCCTTTAATCGACCAATTCACCGGTTTACAACTTGCACCGATTTCATTAATTCAAGCCTACCACGAACATTTATGACAACATATAATGATCATATATGGTTCCAAACTGCATTATATGACCCCGAAATGTATCCCATAGAATTTCAAGAATTTTCGACACTGGGCCCCAAAACCTCCAAAATTTCTCAAAAAGCGTGGATATTAGCCTTCAATTTTGTAATTTTTTTACTTTTTTTCGCCCGAAATTAAAAAATGGCGAAATGTTTACCAGGGTCCCTAATACCCTACGGGATTCCAATTGGGTGTGTGGAACCATTCAATTTGCTTTTAAACGGTCAATTTACCGGTTTACAACTTGCAACGATTTATCGGTTTACAACGGCCAATTTAATTAACTTGCACCTAACCCGACTTGAACCGAAATTGACTCAAAACCGTTTTAACCCGTCAAAACCCGAATTTAACTCGACTTGTTACTAACCTGACCTGAATTTAACCCGACCCGTTCCTAACCCGACCCGATTTTAACCCAACTTGTTACAAACCCGACCCGAAATCAACCCGACCTATTATTGACCTAACCCAAATTCAACCCGACTTGTTATTGACCCGACCCGAATTTTACCATACCTATTACTTATCCAACCCAAAATTCAACCCGATTTGTTACTACCCCGACTCGAAATTAAGAAAGAAGCATCATCCTCAAATTTAAGAGTTAAATATAGTATATATTTGTTGTATGGTCAAAGGAGATAATTATCTTCCTAAATTATAGACTATAATTCCCTAGTATATTGCCATATATATTATAGGCAAAGGAAATAATTACCTTGATAAAAATGATAATTATCTATTTATACTTAGTTGAACCCGAATATAACTAACCTGACTTGGAAATGACCCGACTTGATTGTAACCTGCAAGTTATTGACTTGAACATAACCCGACTTGAATCCGAGAATGACCCGACTTGGAAATGACCCAACTTGATTATAACCCGCAAATTACAAACTTGAACCGAACCCGACTTGAACCCGAGAATGACCTGACTTGAAAATGACCCGACCTGATTATAATCCGCAAATTATTGACTTGAACCGAACCCGACTCAAACCCGAGAATGACCCGCCCGACCTGATTCTAACCCGCAAATTATTGACTTGAACCGAACCCGACTCAAACCCGAGAATGAGAATTACCCTAACCTGTTTAACCTGAATTAAACCTGACCTATTGTTCACTCGACTCGAATGTAACCAGGCCTGTTATTAACCCGACCTAAACCTGACCCAAACCCGATAAGAAGTATGACCCAATGTGACCCGACTCAAGCATGATCCAACCTAAACCCGACCCGCATTGGTCATGAAATTAATATAAAGTAACCCGACCCGAGTTGACCCGACCCACTCTTACCCGACCCAAACCCGACCTGTTTACTCGAGTTGACAACTCTACCCTCAATAGTAAATTCAAGTACTCTCCTCTCAAATTGCACCAAAATTCATTCCGACCTCCACTAGCCAATTTCCCAACGAAAAAACCCCCCTCCATTAGTGAAATTCGCCCACCTTCAAGAACAACAACGTGCTGATTCTTTAGAATTGATTGTAAAATTTTGTAAGTTTTTTGGTTCTTTTTTATTTTTTCAATTTCTGTTCAGATTATAAATTGATTGTATGAGTAGGTTTGGTCGAATATCAAAATCCTAGCTTTATTAAATTTTTAGGATTTGAGTATTATTGGTGTTGTTGGGTTTTGCAATTTTACTTTGTTGTTTGATTTTTCTGTTTAAGTTCTTCATTATTTTGGATTTTTTTTTTTGAATCAAAGATGCAATTTGGCTGCATGCATGTTGTTGTCAGTTTGTGTGTTTCTATGATTGCATTGTAGATTTGTGGTAAGCTTTTGGATTTACTGGGTTTTTTCTCATTGATTGTAAACAACCTAAGAATGCAAATGCAATGGTGAATTATCATCTTTCAAATGGATAAAGTTTTGTTTGTGTTCCTAGTGTTTGTAGTTATGCATATGTATAGTACTACACTACTACATTTGTTACGTATTATTTGCAACGATTAGACATTTTTTGCTCACGTTTATGTCAAATCGTTGCAAATAATATGAAACGAAGGTAGTACGTGGATGGACTTGTTTTTTCTCTAGTTCTGTGAATCACATCAATGAGGTACTGCTGAAAATAATATGAAACGAAGGTAGTATGTGGATGTATATTTAGTTTGTTGGAATGAACATTGGTGGGGGTGGGGGTTGTGGGGTGTATTTTTGTGGATATCCAATGCCAAATAGAAAAATAATGCTTTCAATGAGTCATTCCATTTTATAAAAAAAAAGTATTGATTTGATATATCTATTCAACTCAAAAGTAGAGAATGGTGTTATTGGTTAACTTATTATTGTGAGCAAAATGAACTATCTCTCCTTCTCTTCTTATTTCCTTTGATCTCAATCTCCTTCTTTATGCAGATCTGTCATGTAGCAGAGGAAGTTTGTTTTGAGATTGTCGAGAGGACGTTGCTGCCATCAGTGGTGTTGGTGTTGGTAGCTAGTGCTGTTGGAGATGGGGAAAACGAGGAGTACTTGAGTGTGAGATTGCCATATTACCCCTCAGTGTTCCTTAGGAAAAAAAACATACATACTAACAACTCCAAAACATACCGAACCAATCCAAAAAATGGAAGAAAATCAAACAACACTAGTACGTTTTGGCATAATGGGATGTGCAACGATAGCTAGAAAAATGAGTAGAGCCATCAAGCTAGCCCCAAACTCCACCCCGCACGCCATTGCTAGCCGTTCACTTGAAAAAGCCAAGGCATTCGCAACACAAAACGAGTTATTAGACGAGCAAGGGAAGTTGATCAAGACATATGGAAGCTACGTTGAGTTACTAGATGATCAAGAAGTGGATGCAATTTACATGCCTTTGCCCACAAGTTTGCACGTTGAATGGGCAGTTTTGGCTGCTTCTAAGAAGAAGCATTTGTTACTTGAAAAGCCTACTGCCTTGAACTTAGCTCAACTTGACCAAATATTAGAAGCTTGTCAAGTTCATGGGGTGCAATTTATGGATGCAACTATGTGGTATCATCATCCTAGGACAGCTATGATGAAGCAAGTTATCTCTAATTCGGCTAATTTCGGACACATTCATAAGGTAATTTATTCTCACTTTTACATTTTTTTCTACTAGAATGTACTTGGATTTAGATATATTCATCTGTGATTGTTGCACATGTTACTTGGAATGTTAAATGATCGATTGTTATCTTTTATTGTATATCATGTCTAGTGACGATCCTATATTGTCAAATTTTCAGATAACTTGTACATCGTGTTACCCAGTTGGCTCAGATTTTCTAGAGCGCGACATAAGGGTAGATCCAGAATTTGATGCACTTGGAGCACTTGGTGACTTAGGCTGGTATAACATTGGACAGATCTTATGGGCAGTTGATTATAAACTACCAACCTTCGTAACGGCTTTACCTGCAGCTACCCTTAATTCAAAGGGCATCATTTTGGCTTGTACTGCCTCCTTTCAATGGGAGGAAGAACCCAAGACAACTGCAACATTCCATTGCTCTTTTCTTTCTAGTGCGTCCATGGACGTGACCGTGTGTGGCTCAATAGAGTCTGTTCACGCGACTGATCTAACGATCCCTTGGCAAGAAAAAACAGCCTCTTTGTTTCTCACATCCGGGGCAAAGTGTGTGAATCTCCAGAGTGGATCGAATGTCGAAGCAGAGGAAGTCGTCGTGGAGACTCAGCTTCCCCAAGAAGCCCTCATGGTACAAGAATTTGCTCTCCTTGTGAAGGGAATCAAGAGTTGTGATAAAACGTGGGCCGAGATAAGCAGAAAAACTCAGATGGTTGTAGATGCAGTTAGGAATTCTATTGATCTTGGTTACAAACCTGTGTATCTGTAGTTACAAATGCACCAGCAAAATGATGATTCCTATTGATAAATTATGATTGTGCAGCATATTTTTGCTGCTGCTAATTTTATAATTGTTGCTACTTGATTCATTTTAAATTTTGCTTTCTGTCTTTTATTATGCTAACTACTTGTTTCTTTTGGGTCTGTAATCTGTATCACAAACTTCAGCCTTTTGAAGGAAGATTTATTCTCCTTAATGTAATACTTGTATATTGTTCCTTTCTGCGAAAAAAATAAAGATAAAAATAAAAAAATCCTTGAAAAATCAGAGTATTCTGTAATCAATCATTAGAGTGTCAGAGTATTCTGTAAGTACTTGAAAAATCCTTTTTTTTTTTTTTTTTTTTTGAAGACACCTGAAAAATCCTTGCACAAGTTTATTTGAACTTACTTTTCCATACTGAGCTTATGTTCTGTAAAACTATAAATTGCTCTATGCCAAATGATGATCTAAGATACTAAAAAGAACTGCAAACAGACGACAATGATTCAAAGTAACTCAGGAAAGTCGTAATCAAGCTTTTGTTCTATGTTACTAGCACCTTTTGTTTTACCTCAATTACCCGTGTCGAACCCTTGACAGTCTACACTCAAACATGGATATGAAATTTGGACAATTCATTTTAGTTTAAAAGCATAGAATGAAACTTTTCATAAAATAGTTGGATCAGACACTTGGACACGTACCCGTGTCGGATATGAGTACCCGAATCTGAGTAACTTAACTTTTATTAATATATTATTGAAATAGATATATCCCTATCCCTCATACCACTGCACGACACTCTATATAAATATACAAGTGAATTAGTGGACGTTACACCCCTCTTTCTAAGACATCAAGTAGGCACCATCAAAATTGTTTGGATACTAGCTAAACAACGTTTTCTTATCCTCATTCATAACCATACACTATCACCATGTCACATCATTAAAAGGAAATAAAAACACACACACACAAACAACTCCAAAGCATACCAAACCAATCGAAAAATGGAAGAAAATCAAACATTAGTACGTTTTGGCATAATGGGATGTGCAGTGGCGGATCCAGGATTTCCGAGATAGTGTGTCACCAATGGATGTGCAAGGATAGCTAAAAAAAATTAGTAGAGCCATCAAGCTAGCCCCAAACTCCACCCTGCAAGCCATTGCTAGCCGTTCACTCGAAAAAGCCGAGGCATTCGCAACACAAAACGAGCTATTAGATGAGCAAGGGAAGTTGATCAGGACATATGGAAGTTACATTGAGTTGCTAGATGATCAAGAAGTGGATGCAATTTATATGCCTTTGCCCACAAGTTTACACGTTGAATGGGCTATTTTGGCTGCTTCTAAGAAGAAACATTTGTTACTTGAAAAGCCTACTGCCTTAAACTTAGCTCAACTTGACCAAATATTACAAGCTTGTCAAGTTAATGGGGTACAGTTTATGGATGGAACTATGTGGTATCATCACCCTAGGACAGCCAAAATGAAGCAGACTATCTCTAATTCAGCTAATTTCGGACATATTCGTAAGGTAATATATGAGCACCACCATTGTTGTATGTCATGTCTAGTGACGATCCTAGATTGTCAAATTTTCGTACTTGATTTTTTGCCACAAGGATGTCTTAATTTTTGTTCCCTTGAATCTTTCAGATAAGTTGTACATCGTCTTTTCGAGCAGGCTCAGATTTTCTAGACAGCAACATAAGGGTAGATCCAGAATGTGATGCACTAGGAGCACTTGGTGACTTAGGCTGGTATTGCATTGGACTGATCTTATGGGCAGTTAATTATAAACTACCAAACTTTGTAACGGCTTTACCTGAAGTTACCCTTAATTCAAAGGGCATCATATTGGCTTGTACAGCCTCCTTTCACTGGGAGGAAGAACCCAAGACAACTGCAACATTCTATTGCTCCTTCCTTTCTCATGTGTCCATGGACTTGACCGTGTGTGGTTCGATAGAGTCTGTTCACGTAAATGATCTAGCGATCCCTTATCAAGAAAAAGTAGCCACTTTTCTTCTCACATCAGGTGCAAAGTGTGAATCTTCAGATTGGATGGAATGTCAAACCAAAGGAAGTCGTTGTGGAGTCTCAGCTTCCTCAAGAAGCTCTCATGGTCCAGGAATTTGCTCGCCTTGTAAAGGAAATCAAGAGTTGTGAGAAGTGCTCTGATAAAACGTGGCCTGAGATTAGCAGAAGAACTCGGATGGTTTTAGATGCAATCAGGGAATCTGTTGATCTTGGTTGCAAACCTGTGTATCTGTAGGCAGACTGTCAACCTGTGTATCTGTGGTGTCTTTTTTTTTTTTTTTTTTTTTTGAAGGACAACATAATGTCTCTTTCACAAGATAGTGTCATCATCTCATCTCATTAAAAAAATGTCATCATCTCATCTCATTAATACAGAGTATTCAGAAAGTACTTTTCACTTGAAAAAGGCCTGCCAAATTTGCTCTGTGCCAAATGATGATTTAAGATACAAAGGAGAGAACTGCAAACAGAAGAGGATAATTCAAAGTAACTAGGAAAATCGTAATCAAGCTTTAATTGATCTATTATTGAAAGAGATAAGGTCTGAATATCTGTACATGAGATATCATTTCTAAGCCTAGAACCACAGCAAATCTACATCAACAAATATCCATCAATCATCTCCTCTCGTATCCATTGCATTATTTACTGCTCTAACCTATTTATACATGCTATAAAATGTACATATTATGTATGGTAAATTGGTAATAGGGTGTGTGACCTATGAACTTGTATCAACATTAGGCTTCAGCAAAAGAATGATGGAAGAATAACTCAGCATTGGGTACAAATTGCCTTCCAGGAAATGCTGAAACTGCTGAACTGCTATATCTCTTTCCGACACATTATCAGACAGAAAGTCAAATGGTGTTGGCTTGCTGGTGTCTACCAGTGGCTCCCATTGGTAACCAGGGCGATCAGGCAAAGTCACAGTGACTGGTTTATGACTGGTGTTGAAAGCAACATATATTTCTCCCTTTATAAAGTCTTTCTGCACCCGCCAATTACAAATTACTTTAGAGAGGAATATGTATAAAAAAAACGACAATAAGTCTATAACTGGCATGTGACAACTATTTCTAAATGGAGGGTAACGTATCAAATAAAAAATGGTTCCTTAGTTGGTTATTAGACATTTTGCTGTCTGCCAAGAGGCGATGATATTCTGAAGAATATGCTGATTGCTTCAGTAATGACAGTGTGCTAAGGCCCTTTAAGGGTTCATTTGGACTGCGAGCATGCATCAAATCAAATAGAATATTTGTGTAGATTTTTATTAATATGGAAACAAGAAACAAGCTCATGCCTATTAAAATGTATCACATATTCAGCTTTGAGAACCATAAAACTACACTTTTAAGTTATTCTTTAGCCAAGCATTCAGTTGATCTGTGATTTATCTATCGAAATAATGATTTAAATTTTGGTGGAGTACAAAAACATAACCTTTTTTTACATATATTGAAAGAAAAAAGCACTGAGAAAATAAACTCACCAAAGTGAATGCCACAAAACGACTTGTCTCGGACCAATCTGGATGCTCAGGGATGTGGCCATGCCATTGCAGTCTTTCAGATGTTGGAAATTCATTTAAACCAAGTGACTCGCATTCACTTATAGAGTAAGCATGCAAAAAAATCTATTAGTGGCTGGTGGGAAAAAATTAGCATCCACAATAAGTTGTGATACCAACTCACCTTCGAAATTTGGTCATCAGACGGCAGAATCTGAAGAAATCATTAGTAGCCTCCTCCTTCTTATCCCACCGAAAATAGTTGATCTGCATCTTAGAAAATATTAGTCAAAGAGTTTACAAGTGTACTTCATGTTAGATTCAAAAGGGAGCAGCTATTACATAGTTATCATGGCAGTATGAGTTGTTATTTCCTCCTTTTGTGTGGCCATATACATCACCCATGTACATCATAGGAACACCCTGCCAAAACAAAGGAAAATTGAAAAAGCATGTGGAATAAATCTAGAGGCATCAATACTGAGAAGCTCCAATATTGCACAAAATACGAATACGTATGGTAATGCCCCAAGAAGCTCAGTCAACTATATAGTTCCTCTTAACAAAAGCATAAAAAACAATATCAGTGGTTAAGTGTTTTTAGTCATCAATTCATCATTACCACCTACACATTACATTAACCTCCATTTATATACTAAATTAAACAGAGCAGCGATCATTCTTAATTGTATCAGAGTTAAGAGAACAAATTTCACTCTGCTGAAGAAACAGGATCTACTAACTCAAATCTGAATATAATATCACAGTTTATACCACTCGTCCATTCTTTACTCCGTGGTTTTTCAATGAAAAGCAAGCCCTAAAAATCCCACCACTACCTATGCATAGCTAGCAAGGTCAACTATGAAATAAAATAGCTATGATAATTGAAGTCATTCATCAAGTTTTTATCACAATAGAGAGATTTAAATAGTCAATTATTCAAATATACCTGTGAAACCATGAGGCAAAGGAAAAAATTCCGCATCTGTCGCTTCCTCAATTTCTTCACAGTAGTACTGGCAATTTCACCCTCCTGAAAAACAGCATGGTGTAAAACAAAGTTAATGCCTCCATATACTGACTGACCAACAACTAGCATTGATGCCCTATTGATTCATATGAACCTCTACCAGCCCCTTGAAGAATGAAGACTATATTTTCTGTCAAATTGTCAACCAACGCAACATTCCCCAATGTATTTCTGCAAGGCAATGGAACTACTAGAAAAACTAAATATGGATCCTACATCAACTATCAAGTGTGATCAAACTGACCCAGTGGCCACACAGTAAGCCTCTTGCTGAATATTTATAAAAGGTAATTCACTATCTATTAGAATTAAATATATATAATGAATGGGTTCATAGCTCACGAAAATGTATAGTATGTTAACAGTGTGCACATAATAGCATACCTGCCCACAGTTCCAGCTGTTATTGTGATTCTCCCCATCCATATTGTTTTCCCCATTTGCCAAATTATGTTTACCATTGTATGTCACTAAGTCAGCCAAGGTAAAACCATCATGTGCACAGACAAAATTGATACTATGCCATGGTCTCCTTCCTCCCTCCTGAAAAGCAAGCAAAAGGCAATTAAAAAGATAATCATCTTCTAAAGTAGCAAATAACCTACGAAGTATTGAGCAAACTGGAGTTCAGATTTCAAAACATACCAAAACAAAGTTACAGATAAGTAAAAGATTATTATTATATTATTGACAAAGGGAGTTGACATGGAAAATATTAGAATAGGCAGAAGAAAGGGATGTGATAAGA